TTCCTTCCTCCCTTCAACAAATACTGCCTGCCCTGGGCAGTGTGGCTCCGTTGGTTGGGTGCCCTCCAGTGCACCAGAGTGTTGCCAATTTGATTCCCAGTTTGGGCACTTGCGGGTTTTGGTCTCAATCCCTGATTGGGGGCATGCAGGGGCAGCCAATGGATGTTTGGATGTTTCTCTCTCACAATGATATTTCTCTCTCCCCCCTCCCTTCCTCTTTCTCTAAAATCAATAAAAAATATATTTAAAAATATATTACTTAACTTCTGTGAGCCATGATCCATGCTAGGGACTGGAAATTTTTTTAAAAAGGAAACAGACCAACATAATTCTCTTTTTCTGCAATTTAGTCTAGGTGGGAGAGCAGATTGAATAACTGCTAGAAAATACCGGCAAGCGTTAGAGAAGAGGAAGGACAGGAAAGGGAGGGGGGAGAAGAAGGGAGAGGGAACCTTTTCACTAACACCTTAAAAATGTGTATTTAGCCCGTAGGTGGATGTTGAACACATACGTTTTTTTACCTCTTTTGTGGTTTACTGATGCATGATCATCATTTCCAAGTCGTCTCTGATGTTTTCTTAACAGCATCTAATTACTCTGAGTCTTTGTCAATAAATTTTAATCATTTCCCGCAGGAAGTAAATAAGTACTAATTAAAATGTGATAACTTATTCTATCGATTCTTTAGGCTGCATTCCCTTTCCCACGCCGCGGCAGAGGCAGTGATGAGTGTCGGAAAGGGGCTTCCATAACAAGCCATAAATCCCATCCGAGGAGACGATTTGGAACAGCTGTCCTGCTCAGGTAGGAACCAGAAAGCCTTGTCAGTACATCCAGCTAAAATGATATTTAATATGGTTTTATCATTATTCCCAACGTTTGCCAACTATCATTCATGAATTTTAGGTTTTCAAGTTTGTAGCATAGAACTAGGAATAATGAAGATACATTAATATGCAGTTAGCAGATGAGATGCTTTTTTTTGTATCACAACATGGGCTTTTATTGCTTATGAGCAGCACTAAATCATTTCTAAATTGCTTCCCTTTGTACGAGCCTAATGTCAAAGTTTGAGGGACTTACTTAAAAGAGGAACAAAGGATTCAGTAGGGTCCACAAGCACTTGATTGTGTTGGCAGAAACGGTTCTTTCCATGGACAATATCCTCGCGTGATGCTCAAAGCACAAGGCAATCAGCACATCTCCCCAGAAGTCTATGAAAATCAGTCAGTCACCCTTTCTCCTCAAAATCAGTCAGCTATCCTTTCTCCTGAAAAACTGCAAAATGGCACTTAGCCTCTCTCCCACCACTAAAAAGGGACATTTTCCAAGATGTCACTTGTATCAGATTTTTAAAAACATATCAGAATATGGGAACATCGTTCCCAACACCACTGAAAAAGTATTTCCTGTTAGAACTTCTCCCTGGCTGGAAAAACCCATGTAACAGTAAACATAAATTCTGTATCCCAAATTGAATGCATTTAATTACTAAAAGAAATAGGATATATAAACTTTAGATCAGGGGAAAACAATTTAATAATATTTGTTGGCAAGGGTCTATAGAAACTGGTATTTAGGCATCACTGGTGGCAATTTTAATTAGAACATTTTCTTCTAGTTAGAAAAAAAGTGGGGAAAAAAGTGTGAGAAACTATAAACATCATTACAGCCCTTATCCCAGAAATTAGTCCTAAGGAAATTATTTAAAAATAAAAACAAAAGCCACAAAAAGCTAATTATATGGTGCTTTTACTTCTGTTGCTGTTTTTATTGTTTTTACTTCTACACTGAAGTATAACAGGCATAGGTAAAAATGCACACCTTTTCAGTTTACTAATTGATGAGCTTTTACAGTGTGCATTTGCATATGCATACTGATGTAACCACTGCCTGGATTAAGATAAAGAACTTTTTGACCCTGGCCTGGGAGCTCAGTTGGTTAGACTTTTATAAAGTTAATGTAACCCTGGCATGTTATGCCCAAAGTAAGCACTTCTCTTCAAACCATATATTTGAATTTTTAAAAATACACATATATAGAAGAACAGGAATAGAGTAGCAGTTATGGTACATCTCTAGAATCAGAATTTTAGAATTTAAATTTTGAATGACTCACCCACCGGCTGAGTAAACCTGAGTAAGGCATTTTTAAAAAATCTAAGTTACCCCCTCAGTCTTCAGGGGATGATGATTGTATCTCCCCTTTATTCCTTAGTTTTCCGTGTGTGGTGACGCGTGTGGTGCTTCCAACATTCTGAAGGTTGCTGCCACTGGGAAGGAAGCAAATATTGTGTTGGTGTTTTTATATCAACTAATAAACTTGATTCCTCTGAGGGTGACCAGGGCATATAATTTGGTATCTCAGTTGGTAAAGGTTTTCAGTGACTTTTCAGAGATTGTGCAGAAGTCTTCCTTTTATTAGGAAAATTGATCTTGGATCTTAAAGGTCAACAAAGCAATGACTTAACTTTGGTTTCTAAGAATCCTACCAAGTAAGCTGCATGTAAGATAGTTTATCTGCGTCAGGAGTTAATCCCATCTGGATTTGCACCTGTGATTTCCCGGAGCCATTCAGAGAGTCCACTTACAGTGCTACAAACTCCCCTTCAACTATAAAGATCTGAGTTTTAAAATTACAGAATGTACTTTAAGGAAAGCCTCTTCTAAGCCAACTACATTTAGCAATCGAGGGCAGAAGTGACTGTGCTGCTACGCAGGTGGAGGCATAGAATTCACGGGTGTAGCTCCACAGTGCCACTGCCTTCAGCTAGAGGAGACATGAATATGCTCACGCTCGGCGTCCAGCCAAGGTCAAGAGCACTTTACTGTCGTAGCCAACTTACTCAGTTCAAGCACATTTCTCTAATGCTTTACAAAAATAAAAATTTAATGCAGAGAGTTCCATGAAAGATGGCAGAATAAATTCATGTTTTCATAGCCTCTCTGCCTCAAACTTACTAAAATGAATAAAAATTAGAGAAAAAAACTGCCACTATGCTTAGGAATTATCATAAGCCCACACAGTAAACTCTGAAGACAATCTGTCAGTTACAAAAAATTTTGGACTAAGCTGAGAGACTCTGATTATCATAGACATATCCCCAATTGGAAAGGTATATCTGGTGTAAGAAATAAGACAAGGAGTTGAGAAGGGGGCCTACTAACAACTCCTGGTTGGGAGGTGATCCTGGGGAGAGAACATGTCGTAGGAGGAAGGAGGAAAGCATTCCCGTGGGACTAATTCTATCACAGTGAAATGGCAGGTGGAGGGTCAATGTTTAATTTATAGACTGCCTAAACAAGTCACATTATTCTGTTTGAGCTGATTTTTCTCCCCATAAGGAAAAACTGGAGTAGATGGGAAACTGGACCCTGTAGCTTCTGACCAAAATAACATGAGCAAGGAAAAATATTTACATGCCTATACAGATTTAGACTTTTATTGGGTGTCCAAATCCCTACCAATCAGAGTATGAAAACTGAGAGAAGACCCCTGAATTGGAATCTTCAATAAACTTAGAGAAATTGCTTGATGATAATAGCTACTAGCAACTGCAGCTTCTTTTCTACACTCTTCAATCAAATGAATGACTAAGAAGGTTCACAAACCAGCCTTCCTAATCCTAAAATTTAACTCCTAAAGAATTAAATGATACCTCTGAGGGAAAGGGGCAAAGAAGGTGGAAAGTTGGGAAATGTTAAGAGTAATAGAAAAAGTCCACATGCATAGTTAATGATGGTTTTCCCTACTTAAGATGAATAAAAAAGATAAACCAATCAGCATGGTACCAATCAGCATGGCAGAAAAAACTGGGGAGGAAGAAAAACAGAGCATGTAAATGGCCAACACAATTATAGAGAAACTTCAGAAGAAGTTATGTAATAGTCGACCAACACATTTCTTTATGCATTCAATGACTGAACCCATTTGATAATGCAAAATTAAAAGAGAGAGAGAGAACAACATGAAATTGAGCCATGTTAATTAAAAAGTAATTTTAGGTGAAAACAAGCAATATCAACTCCTCTAAAACGAGCATGAAATATAAATTACCCAACAGGAAACTGGAACAGTGTGATGGGTAACATTTTCAGGAAAAACATAGGGAAATTCATATTCTAATATTTTTCAGTGTACTCAAGTTATATGAATATTAAAGGGGCCTGGATGGTGTTTACTGCTTTCTCCCCTCCCCTCTCTGTTTCAGAAAGCTTTACCCTCCCCGTCCAGTTACAGTGTTACGGGGAATGTTGGGGAGCCTGTTTGTACCTCCTCAGCTGGGCCACCATGAAGGATGTCATGGCTGACCTGGTAGGCGAGAGGGTTGTCCACAGTAAGCTCTCTTTTCCTAATGGGTTTGGTTACTTTTTCCAAAGATCTCTGGTTACTTTTCTTTTGCATCCCAAACCCAGGCACATGTCCCATGCCACTTCCCCTCTGTACTTCTGTGTGTAGGCAATAGATGTGAGGCTCACCTGCCTGTCTCTTTACAGTAAGACCTTCATGTCACCTTGATTTTTCCCATTCAGGGACAAGGACTGGAAAGACTTCAACCAGCATCAATAGACTAAGCTGCATCTATCAAGAGTTTATCTGAACCCTGTATTTTAACAAATAATTTTCAAAATTTATCAAGCAGCACTTTATTTTTCATTTGGCTAATGCTCCTGTGGCAAGATAGCAGGAAGCTAGGAACATTCCTGGGCAAGTGAAATAGGGAAACTGAGACAAGAAAATTAAACAAGGCCAAACAGTTTGAACAACTTAGAGCCAACTAGTGAATCGCAAGACCTTATCTTCCCTAACCAAGGACACTAGAGAGCAAATGGTTTATACCTCTCCTCCCTAACCAGAGAATACAGAGCTTAGATCACCCTGGTCTTGGAAATAGAGAACAGAGACCCAATTAATGCCATTTGTGCCAGCTAAATCTAAGGACAGATGTCAGGGGAACAAATAACAAAAACCCGTTAAAGCCACCCAGGCCCAAGATAAAAGTAAAACAGTAAAGCAGACCAAAGGATAATCCCAAACCCCCGATACACTCATTTTGAGGCATCAGCGTATTAAAAGCACACCTGAAAAGCTAATGAATATTCTGCTGAAACCCTCACCAAAGATTTTCACCCACAGAAGAGATAAAAGCCCTCAAGACAAAGACCCAGCTCAGGCTCTTGGGCATGAACTTTTTACTTCCTTCTAAATTCTAAGGGTACCCATGAGATTTGCAACCAGGGGAGCAGCAGGCAGCGGCAGCTCTTCTGGGGCTAACCTCTGATCCTGTACCCAAGGCCCCCTTTTTCTCCAAGCTCCCAGCGAGCTAACAGCAGCCCCGCCTTGCCTCACTTCTTTCCTATAATGTTTCTAGGGATCCAAAGCAGAGTACGGCCCAGGTTCTCTCCTGGTGCTTCCTCTACCCTAAACCCTTCTTTTGTTTCACTGTCCCCAACTTTAATAAACATACTCTCAAAATCACCTGGGCATGTGTTGTGAAATCTTTTTACACAAAGTCAAGAACCCACACACGACAAGCCAGCCTGAGGCAGACCTGCTCCAGGCTGGGTCCTGCCCGGTAACAATCCTTACATATATATTCTATTAGATGAGAAGACAGATGATACAATCCTGAATCCATAATACAGAGAATTGAGTTCCAATGCAGGAGTAATAATTTTTTTTTCTCAAGAGGTGAAAAAGAAAACAAAAACAGACAAAAATTTCCAGACGTAAACTTCCCTGAGGAAAACCCAGATCTATTAGAACACAAGCACCCGTATGTTCATATCTTCATTGCAGCATCATTCAGTGGCCAAGACATGGAAGCAACCGAAGTGTCTCTCAAAAGATGATTGGATAAAAAAGATGTGGTACACACACACACACACACACACACACACACACAGTGGTGTGCTACTCGGCCATAAGAAAAGATGAAATACTGCCATTTGTGACAACATGGATGGATCTTGAGACTATCCTGTGAAGCGGAATAAGTCAGACCAAAAAAGTCAAGAACCATACAGTTTTACTCATACGTGAGATATAAAACTGAAAGCAACAAATAAACAAGAAAAAATAAGAAAAGCTTATAGACACACACAACAGTATGGTGGTTACCAGAGGGAAGGGGGTTGGGGGAATAGAGAAGATTTGACTTGTGTGCTGGGCACACAGTGCAATATACAGATGATACATTATATAATTGTATACTTGAAACCTATTTAATCTTATTAACCAAATATCAGCCCAATAAATTTAATTTTTAAAAAAGAATCACCTTATTTCTGGGGGAAAAAATAGTGCTGAATATCCCAATGCTTTTGAGAATTCTGACATCTGTTCTGAAATCAGATAAGAACAAGAAGTACTTTTGGTGGCAGAACCAGACTTGCTCCTTCCTTCAACATGGAGAGTCAGACAGCATGTTTTACTTTACTTTCTTAAAATCTCTTCAAGATCTGTGTTAACTGAAAATCAAACGTGAAAAACAGATTAAGTTTCTTTATGTTATGATCAGTTTTTTGACATTACAGCAATGTATCTTTGATATAGTAATAGCCTCATTTGTTTGAAACATGCCAAGCAGACGTACAATTTGAAGGAATAATAAAGTGGAATCTACATAGCTTCCTTTTAAAATAAATAGTGCATTATTCTGCTATGTTCTCAGGAAGTGGCAGTTATGGTGACAGTACCCTAAATGATTCAGCATACCTTACCACATAACCACAGCGCCATTATCATATCTATGAAAATTACATCATTCTGTAACATCTAATATAGTTAAATAAACATCATCAATCTGAGTCCATCTGAACATCAAAAAGGAAAATTAAAAAACAGATTATAATACATTGAATTGTAAATAATCTCTGAATGCGTAGGAAGGAGAGAACCAGTCTTTCTTTACATGAGAACACCAGGTAACATGTGGAAATAATGATGGAATTTATTTTTAAATCTCCAGTTTGCAGTCCTTGTGAAAAATCATGGCCTCCACAGATGTTTAGGCACTAACCTCTGGAGTCCTTAAATCTGCTGCCTTATATGACAAAAGAGATGTTTTCGGTGTACAGTGGCCCCCTGGTTTTTGAATGTAACCCGTTCCGAAGCCCATTCGAGTTCTGAAACGTTGGAAAACCGAGGGATCCGCAGCAACAGCTGGGCCTCAGCATCTTGCCCTCAGCGGAAGCCGGAAGCCGGAAGCCGGAAGCCGTGGGCACGTGCCACTTCCGAGGCGGGTTCCAAACGATTTAATCATTCCTATGACAGAAACTCAGGTTTGGAGTGTGTTGTGCCAGTGAAGTAACAAAATTTGGAAAAAATAAAGAAAGGAAGAATAAATGAAGCCCCGGAGGTTGTGGCTAGTCGACAAGTGTGCAGATGAACCTTATCCTTTGCGAGATTCATCCAGTGGTGTGGCTCTTCAGAAAGAAGCCTGCGCGAGGCTGGAGTTCTTTGATGGTAAAGAGGTGCTCTAAAATTGCCAGGGAGGTAGGCGCTCATTGTGGTCCTCAGTGGAATGTCCGCTGGTAACCCCCCTGGGAACCGCAAAGCCCCCCACACTGAGTGGTGAAGGTCACCCTGCGTAAACCTGTCTACACTCATGAGTTGCTGCTGCTGCCACCAAGGCAAGCTCAGTGTACACTCCATGCTTCTGAAATGGCTGAAATCCCAGCTCCTACATTTCATATTTCTTATTTATCTTTAAAGGAGTACGGTATGTATTCAGAAACATTCCCTTGAGCCTTTGCATATCTGAAATGGCATTTGTTAATGCTCCTAGGATTTGAGGGAGGCATCTATTATTGGGCTGTACACATTTCAAAGGAAAAATACTGGTTCTAGCTCCTTCTTTAGAGATATGACATAGCACATCCTTGGTCTCTTGCAGCAATGACATATTTTAGTAACTAGGCAAAGAATTGTAGTTCTAAGTTCTGACAGCTAAAGATACTAATTTTTATATCAAAATAATAAGTTATAATTTACCATGGTATATGGTTTACATATTTCACAGCTGAAAATTTCCTTTAAGCATTATTTATTTTATTTTAAAGACATTATTATAGAGAAGATATTATTTTTCCCATTTAATAAATACCGAAACATTCAGAAAGATTAAGATACCTATTCACGTTACATTGTATTTAAGGACTTTTATTTAAAATCTGATCCAAGTGCCCTTTCAGTTTTGGTTGTCTGATTTTCAAGGTTACAGATATGCAATTTTTAATTAATCACATAATTATTTGAAAACAACCCAATTATTTCTCTGCTATTAAATTTGGGTCTTTACCTGTCTAGTTTATTAGTTTTATTTTAATTGTGCAGTTATTAACTACCTATAACCCACATGTGAATATCATCTACTGCATTAACCTATGTTCTGGCTATATTGTATCATCTGAGATATATTTGGTTATTGAAAAACCAGTTGTCATAAAGTATTTAAATCTTCATTGTCCAAACCCATTTCATGTTATAAATTAATATCATGTAGTTCAAATTAAATTCCTAAATAGAACAGCCTGAAAAACCAAATTCATGATATTAAGAAAAATAAAGGTTAAAAAAAAATGATGAGGGAAACAAAATAAGGATGGGAAAGTCAAAGAGAGACTCAAGGACAAAAAGAGTCCAATATGTAAGTGATGGATGCCTCTGAACTGAAGGAGAGAATGAAACAGGTCAAACAGAATGTTCAAAGACCTATGAAAATAAAACCATTGACTAAAAAAAGACCTGCAGAGCAAAAGGACTTAGTATTATACAAAGGTTAAGGAATGGGATTTTGAGCTACAGAGAGTTGTTGGGTGGAGTCCTGACTCATCTTTATTTTTATTTTGTCTCCACCAGTGTCTGAGTACTTTTTTTTTACATTTATGCACAAAAAAATCTTACCTTATACCTCCCTTGTCCAAACTTCAAAATAACCCATTTCTCTAAAGAGTCACAGTTTCAATACCTTTACCTGGAAATTATCAAACCAACGTCTGTCTGTTGTATCTGGGGAATTATGAATAAAATAAAATTTTAATTTAGGTGTTAGGAGATGTTTCAAAAAGTAGGATGCTCTTACTTTAGAAGAGCTCAGATCTAAAGAAAGATAGCAAAGGTGAACATCAACTTTAAAAGGATATGATACTTGCAGATGAGCCTAGAAAGGTAGTTTTGTTTATTTGTTTGTTTTTGTTTGTTTGTTTGATTTTACCAGAACTTGGCCGTGGCGTGTAATAAAAACCAAAGCAGCAGCCTTTGCGGTGGAACAGGTGATCACTATGAGGGTCTGTGCACTGCAGCTGTGGTGTTCAGGAAGTTTATTTGACAAGATATGTTAAACAGTTCCATTTCATCAGCATCTATTGAGAACCAGACCCTAAGTACCTGGAGTTCAAAGATCACTATTATCAATGGAATGCCTCAGTAATTACTATTACTCAGTACTCAGTATTTATCAAGTGTTTATGCACTATGCTAAGCATTTTGAGTGCTTGCCATAAAATTTACTTCTTATAACAACCCTATATAATGAGAGTGTGTATCTTTACTGAGCAATGAGAACACTGAGACTTGGGGTAACGAAGGCCACAACCTAGTAACAGCCAGGAGTGGATGAGGCCCCGAGAGAGAGAGGGAGAGAAGAGAAAGGGTCATTGTCACCTTCAAACAAACTCTAGCTTGTTGAACTTCTATGTTAATTTCTGTTAAATGTAATGGCACCAACTTTCAGTGCCTACCTGCAGACATGCAGCGTGCATTAGTACAGCATCACGGTGAACCACAGTTCTCTTGCATCGAATAATAAAGAAACTGTACGGCTCGGCAGGTTAGGCAATGAGCTGGAAACTTCAGGCTCCGTGAATCCTAATCTCTAGTACCTTGGTGGCTCCTGATTGCTAAAACATAGGATTTTAACTGGTTAAATCCCATCTGTAGTTAAATTGAATCAATTTAGCTCAGTAAAAAGGCTGTGGTTGGGATAATAATTTTATTTGAATGTTCTTTCTCCCTCTACTATTTCTAGTATTCTCTAGACAACAACTAACCTACTGATGACCTAAGAATCCCGTTGAGAAACGATTACAGTTAAAATTCCCCAGCAGGAGTGCCGATATAAATAAGGGTTATGTGTGACAAAGCTGTTTCATCTCCAGCAGATGGCCCATGGTAACAGTGCACTGGTGATCTGATTGATTCCTGTAATAAATAATTTTGGAAAACAAATGCTTTCTCTGCATGCAGTACACTCTAAAACCATTCCTGTAAGGGAAGTTGGGATAATGTGCTCTTTGCATTCTTGCCCCCTCCTGAAGTGCTATAGCTGCTACGAGAAAGCATCCCTCCTCAAACAAAACAAAACAAACAAATGAAAAATCTCTCTTCCAAATCTCTAATTAACACAACTCACAAAAATGTCAGATAATTTAGATGAGAAAATAAATGGACAGAATGATCCATAGAGAAAGAAAATTGAAGGAATATTCTAAAACCTCACATTTGGGGTGAGGACTGGTGGGAGGAAATCGGAGCTAAAATTAAGCAGCTAGATCTCAGTCATACCTCAAGAAAACAACAGAGAGGAACAGAAGTAAGAAAATTTAAAACTAAATGTACAAGCAGTGAGTTGAAAGACTAGTGAGAATCTATCCCACCCTACCTCTTACTCTAAGGCAAAACAAAGGGGACTTGAGTTAATAACTTAGTGACAATTCACACTGAGGATGATGAGCATCACTGGGTGATATTTATCTCCCTTCAAATCTTTTTAAAAATATATATCTGCCTTTTAGGCAGTCAGATAGATCCCCTAAAATTTACCGTTTACCCAGAATGATTAGCCTTGTAAAATATAGATAATGAAGAACATATAATGCAGCTAATATGTACAATCTATGCAATGTCAGGCTATCCAACTGGAGTTACATCATAAAAAAGTACCCAGAAAAAATGTCAGCTCTAACAAACTCCATCTCTACTGTTACAAATAAAACTGTATTTGGGGGTGGGGTAAACCCACAGGTAATTGTGGCTTTGGGGCCCCAACCTGTGATGGATTAGGACCGAATAATTTACCTTCCAAGGCGATTGGGAAATCTTTATCTTTGGTGTGGTTAGATAAGGTCAGTCATATTTATTCTAAATTATATTATTGCCATATGAATAATAAATTAGGGGAGCCTAACTAAACCCTTGGAACAACTTGATTTTCATGCTCAACTATTTAATGGTCAGTAACCTTGGGTTTTGAGCAGCTGCTTGGTTAGGAAACTCATAGACACAGACAAGAGTATGGTGGTTGCTAGAGGGAAGGGTGATTGGGGGTAGTAAAGGGAAAAGGTCTCCAAACATATGGTGATGGAAGATGATTTGACTTTGGGTGGTGGGCACACAATACAATAGGCAGATCATGTATCATGGAAATGTACTTAAAACCTATATGACCCTATTAAACAACATTAACCCA